AGTTTGCTGACCCCTGCCTTAGAGGAAGTGATTGACAAGTATGGAAGATGGGAAAGGCTCTTCTCTTTTCTATGACTGCAAGTTTGGGTATGTAATTTTAAAAGGAGGTATTGCATGTGCAGCTGTGATGCAGTTGATGAAGCTAAAGCTGTGTATAACCTATACAGGTTGCTTACATTGGAGGATTTGTTGTGTTGATGAGAACTGTAAAACTTTTTGTTTTGTTTTCAAAAAATATTTTTGCAATGATCTGAAAGAATAGGAATTCATCAAGAATGCAGTATGTATTTTAAATGTGTTTCTTATGCTGGAAACATCATTGTAAAATACCTAAAAACACATGATTTGTAAGGTATAATAGCCCATATTTGCTGAGGCAGAAATGATTTTCTAACAGGTTGTCTTTCAGCTACCTTCAAAACTATAGCCACTTTTTCTAACTTCACACTCTCTCACTCTTTGAGACTTCAGTTCCTTAATAGCCAAGTCAGTATGTTTTATCATTAAATATGCCAAGAATTGCAGCCTAAAACTTCTGGTGTGCACCAGGCTGGAGAACAGTGCATTAGAAGACAGATAAATGGTTCTTCTCGCCAATTTTTAAAAAGTGCTTTATGTTATTGGGTATATTTAATTAAAGAAGAGCACAAAGAAGAGCACAAGAGCATCCAGCACACAGTAGGATACATACACCCTTGCCCATTATTGGCAAAAGGTTGGGAATTCAAAATAGGAGTGTAATAATAGAGCAAAGAATGAGGCATGGGTTGGCATTTTAGTCCATTAAACCCAGCTTCAGTCAATCTGTTTTGACTATCACTACATCATATTTTCGTTTAAAGAAAACCATCACTACATCATATTTTAGACAGTCAGTGTGGCATAATTGCTTGAGCATTGGACTATGACTCTGGAGACCAGGTTTGAATCCTGGCTTGGCCATGTAAACTCACTGGGTGACCTTGGGCAAGTCACACTTTCTCACTCTCGGCGGATGGCAATGGCAACCCCTCTTTGAAGAAACTTGCCAAGAAAACCCCATGATAAGTTCACCTTAGGATCTCCATAAGTCAGAAATGACTTGAAGGCATACAACCACAGCAAACATCATATTTTTTGAATTCATTGAAGAACTGTAGGGTTCTGTGATTTAGACATACTCTACAGATTATTCTGATTTGCTTTGCCAGGCCACTTAGTTGAGTGAGACATTGTCTATTCCACTTACGCTTGGAATTGATGTAGTTGTATCAGCAAGCTAAAGTCTAATGCTTGAGTACTTCTCCAGGCCTTTGGCATACAAGTTCCACTGGCCCTAGTTGTGGCTAAGGGTAACTGTGGTGTTGTTATTATACAGATGTCAAAGATCATAGTTCAGTGCCGCTGCTGTTCGCATTAACCCTGTTTGGGTGTTATCTGTTATAGATAAAATAAATATGCAAGAAGAGAGTGTGTGCTAGCTTTTTGTCACCAGTTCTGTCTCCAGAGGCTTCCAATGCAGTTTGGAACCCTGATTCTCTAAGATTTCAAATGGTTGGAGAGCTTCCCTAGGTGTCCTCCTTCACATGTTTGCATAATTCACATAGACAATGCTGCGATAGGGCAAATGGCTAACTATAATTTATGTTGCCCTTAATCAGACTGGGAGTGATTTGTGCATGACAGAAGTGCTGTGGAAAGGGAATGTGTATTCTACTCATGATCATTTAACCAAGATTAAGATAGTTGGAAGCATTATCTTTGCATAGTTTTTAAAACCAGAGAAGCTTGGATTTCCTTCCTTCCCGATTGGAAATTTACCTTTATTTTCTCTCATGTCTTAGGTCTCCATATCTTCTTACATTTCTCTGGTAACTACTATGTCTTCTTATTTGTGTTTCTGTTATTCCTCATTTTTCAGTCCAAGCTAAATTTCACTATAAATTCGATGTTTTGAATATTATTTTAAATGTGAGTTAGAGTCATGAGTGATTTATGTTGGGGGGGGTTGTCTATGTCGGGTGGTGGGCAAGGATTAAAGGTGGTGTATGTTATTGTATTGTATATGTATATAAATTTATATCAGAGTTTGTATATTTGGATTGCTGAATATAGATATATTTTAATTTGCAAAACTAATAACAAACTAAAACTAAAACCAGAGAAACATGTTTAAAGACTGATATCATGTTTCCCCTACCAAATGAAACTGTTTCCTTTTGGGAGTCTTTTTCCCCTAAAAGGAAACGCTTATAGTTTTGGCTATGTTAACTGGCACACAATTATGTGGGGTAAAATTATTTCCACTTGGCAGTTCTGTAAATCCTAGATTGTTTTCTCAGCCCCTTGCTCTTGCCAAATGTCTGATTAGGGACTATAGTGATGGCAGAAGTGATAACTTTAAAACAACATGGACTGAACTGGAGTCAAGATGTGAAATTTGTGAGGATATAGGAAGTTGGATGGGGAAAGGGGTCCAGACAGGGCACATTGCTATCTAAAGCCATGATGTCAACTATCTCATTGCACCATCCTTGTTGATGGTTTAGTCCAGGGGTAGGCAACCTTTCCCCTTTAAGGGCCGAGGGACTTCAGCTCCCAGAATCCCAGGAGCTATTGGCCAACATGGGACTATTGGCCAACATGGCTGAGGCTTCTGGGAGATGAAGTCCCTCAGCCCTTAAAGGGGAAAGGTTGCCTACCCCTGGTTTAGTCCTTAAGTCACATGAAGAGTCCAGCTTCTAGGACAAGGACAGAAACTTTAGGCCTCCAGATGTTTTAGAATATAATTCCCACAATCCCTTGTCATACTTGGTGGGGCTTTAGGAAGCTGGTGTTGAAGGCTCACTATCTGAATCTGGGTCAGACTGAATTTGCTTGGTTAGTAGTAGCTCTGTTATGCTGAAAGAGAGCAAATGTTGCAACAGCCATGACAACTACTCCTGTATGCTCCACTGCGAACTACTTGGCAGTCTTCCCTCTGCCGTGTGCTCCTTATCTCTCACATTATTTGTGAGAACTGTGGGGGAAATGCACCATTCATAAAGTTATACTTAAGTATTTCCTTTGCAACTATCCAGAGAAAGCAATAATGTTCGTAAAAATTAACCCACTCTGTCATGCCTGGATATCTAAACTGAGATACTTAAATTGTATGTAAAGGGAAAAGGGTCTTTACTATAAGGGACTTTGTCATTCATGACACAGGATTTCAGTGCTTTGAGCCATTAGTCCTTTAATAGTTGGAGACCAAATTTCTAGAGTCCATGGATGTTCTGTAGAAGTGAAGATTCTTGTTTTATACCAGAAAAAATGTATTTTAGCTTGAGGATATGGAGCACCAAAGTAATGTTATTTGTGAAATGAATAAGACCCAGGAAAATGACAAATATCATCCCTAATATGTTATTCTGGTATACAAGTGTATTGTTTAGGAAGTGGGAGGCAGTGGTTCCCATCCCACTTCTGCAAAACAGATTGTTTTCCCATCTGTGTTCATTCTGAAGTTAGGCTATAGTCAAAACAGGTTTACAGTTATCAATGTTCAATAAAGGCATGAGAATTGGAATATCCATCCTCCTGTTTCAAATCTGTAGCTTGTTGCCTGTTGTGGCATTTGCCCAGCATAGCCATGGCAGCAGCTCTTGTAGTTCATAACCACCATCTACTGTGGCTTTCCTTTCTGTAGGCCCCAGTGCTGCAGGGCCCTTGGTGGTGTTTCAGAGTAGGGTGTGGGATTTTGTGTTACATATAGTACAGGACAAAGGTCTGAGACTTGATCCTAATTGGCTATGGTACCTCTGGCCCTAGCAACAAGAGAGAAAATATTCATGCTTGGGGCATTACTTTGTATGTTATAGGCTTTACATGGAGGCTGCCAAATACAAATTTCCTCTTTGTAAGCCTTTGGCCCTGATCATGTCTAGTCTGTCTACATTAAAGTTGCCAGCTAACTAGAAAGATGTGTGGTTCTCTTCTGGTGCTTTTTGCAGAACCTTAGCTTGATTGGCCTTGTTGTGGCTCTATGCTAATACTTTGCTATTTGTCGGGCTTTGATGATCCAGCAACTATAATTTAGTTTGGGGCCATTCGTGTGTAGATGTTGTCTTCTGTTTTGCTTTCTTCTGTTTTCTATAGATCTTTTACAGTTGCTTCCATTGGCTGTTCTTTGTCCCAATTGTCTGTTCTGCAAATACAGTGTGAAGTAAAAAAAAAAAAAAACTAACAAGAAAGGTCAAGGAAAAAAGTGCAAAGGCAGGCCTGTTGCTGAACACAAAGAAAACAAAACAAAAAAATGACCACAGGAGACCTACATAAATTTGAATTAGACAATGAGGAAATTGAAATAGTCAATGATTTCTTGTACCTGGAATCAAGCATCGCCCAGAATGGAGACTGCAGTCAAGAGATATGAAGAAAACTAAGAATGGGAAGGGCAGCCATGAAAGAGCTAGAGAAGATCCAAAAAAGTAAAGATATACAACTGAACACCAAAGTTGGAATCATCCAAGCCATAATATTCCCCATCACCATGTATTAATGTGAGAGCTGGACTGTGAAAAAAGCAGATAAAAAGAAAATCAATTCATTTGAGATGTGGTGTTGGAGAATAGTGCTGAGGATACTGTGGACAGCCAAAAAGACAAACAAATGGGTCCTTGAGTGAACCAGGCCAGAAATACTGGAGACCAAGATGATTAAATTGAGGTTGTCGTACTTTATCCACATCATGAGAAGGCATGACTCATTGGAAAAGACAATAATACTGGAAAAGGTGGAGAGTAGAAGAAGGAGAGGTTGACCACATACCAGATGGCTAGAATCAATTAGGGAGGACACAGGCATGAGTCTACAGGAAATGAGCAGAGAAGTGGAGGACAAGGAGACTTGGAGATGTGTCACCAGAGTTGAAGTCGACTTAAGGGCGGCTAACCACCACCACCACAAATATATTGTAATAAACAAATAAATAATGTCCATATTCTCCTACTTGTGTATGCCCTTTATTAATATTTGTTTGTTTATTTTACAATATTCTGTGAATGCAATATGTATTCACAATATGGCAATTTGTTATTTTTAGTAAATCACACACATTCTGAAGAATTGTGCTTAGTAGACAGGATATAAATTAAATAAATGTAGTCACCATATCATGAGGTATTTATACAATATAAAAGCATGCTGTGTTAGGGCCTTTACAGAGTGCCAGAAATAGTGCAGATTGAGGCCACTTTAACTGTCCTGGCTCAGTGCTAAGGAATCATGGGAACTGTAGTTTATTGTGGCACCAGAGCTCTCTGGCAGAGAAGGCTCAATGTCCGAGAAAAGAATACAATTCCCATGATTCCCTAGCACTGAGCCAGGGCAGTTAAAGTGGACTCAATTTGCACTATTTCTGGCAGTCTGTAAAGACAGTATTTGAAGAGGATCCTGTCCCTGAAAACGCACTGAAATAATAGAGGTGTGCATGCTTATTTGTTTTTTTTAACTGAGGTGGAGAGAAGATATAAGGGGAAGACAACATATCTGTGTGTGCACCCTGGAAACAAGGAAGATGAACTATGTAATGCCTTAATGCAGGCTAGAGAGCCAGTATGGTAACTTAGAACAGCAAGATCATTATTGTAGCATAGACATTTATACCTGATAGAAGGAGGTATAGTATTACCCACAATAAATGTTAAAAGCAAAGCTCCTTTTCCCCGAATTAAGCCAAATCTCATTTGCTCCACCTCTGTTAGCTTCTTTTACTGTTTGTGGGGGTGGGAGTTAGGTGAGCATAGGGGATCAGATTGTGATATGCCATCTCTACTGTAGCTCTTTCTAGTGATCCAGTAGACCAGCCTTCCCCAGTCTGGTGCCTTACACATGTTTTGGCTTATAAATCATACCTTACAACTGGTGATGAGGTATGGGACTGACTGATGGGAATGGATGGGAATTAGTTCAAATCATTTGGA